AAACCCTCATTCTGCAAGTTGACAGGATTCATTCCTTATTGTTACTGATGAAACCCCCGGAAGTCTCAATCTTTCATGATCTGTCTTCTGGGATATAAAAAACACCATATGGACATGCCAACAAGGTAAAAAAAAACAACAAAAAACCCACATCATTTTCACCAGAGGGGGTCTTTAAAGGATAATGCAGTTTTATTACAACAACCTGGAACCTCTTTTTATAGTAGTTTTGGCCATTTTTTATATCTGTAATAAAAAAGAAGAAGGCTGAGAGTCCACAGTCTCCCGCCTGGACTGCACTGTGAGGCGCTATGGTACTGTGAGCTACATACTAATGCCAGCATGCTAACACTGATAATGACTGCTGATTACTGATTACTGTTACCCGTCTTAGCTTTGTCTGTTAGCATGCAACTATTCGCTAATGAGCTCTAAACACAAACCTGATGACAGTGTTGTGGTTTTTTTGAAAACCAAAATCAGCTGATTGCAAAATTTGTGTCAATCCTTCTTGTATTTGCTGAGATATTTCACTGAAGCTTCACCTGCTTGTGATTATCATCTAGGTCTGTTTCATGGATATCAAAATTTCACTGACAGTTGATCCAACAGTAGCTTAAACCAAAACTATCTGCCTCACGGTTTCATGACTCTGAAAGGAAGCGGATGAGCCAAGCCAGTAGGATTCAATCTCTGGAGATCACCATGCAGCCGTAAAATTTCATTGCAGTCCATCAAATGTACAAGTGTATCAGTCTGGATGAGAATGGTTGACTTCATGCTGGAGCGTCTGGCTTTTCAATCTCTCTGTATGTCAAAGTGTACTGAGGTTTAGAATCTGCATTCTGTGGCGACATTCTGACACGCCGGTGGTGACGTGTTTCATGCGAACGAGCCATGAATGGTTTGCCAGAGCTAAAGAGGGGAGGGCAACTAGAGAGGGGGGTGAGGCTGAACTACAAATATGGCGGAAAAAAATGGCATTCAGGGTTACAGTCTTCAAAAGAAAGACACAGATCGTAGGCACGTGTAGACAGGTTTTCAACTGAAATCACAAGTCGTAGTGTTTTTGAATTAATGATTTGTGTTATTGAAAGGAATGACAGAGGATTGAGAATACAGGAAATGTTCCTTTTCCTGTTTGTCTGTGTTTGATTGACGGGCAACAGCAGAAGACGAAGTCATGTAATTTACATGAGTGGACAGTGTGTTGTTTACATTCGGTTTAATGTGTTTCACCTGAGCATGCCAGTTAAAGGGATTTAGTAACTTTTCCTGTTTGTTTTTTAGTGGCTAATTCAACAAGCTGGGGATGAAATATGTATTGGACGAAGGCTGTAGCAGGTTATGTTTAGCTATTATTATATATGCTGCTAATTTTCATTGGATAAACCTCCAGGTTTACCAAAACCTAGTTGGACAAAATGACTTAAGGAGTTCTAAAATTGTCCAAACATCTGCCACAGATTACTGATTGACTTCTTAATTCAGTTTGACCTACCGTGCTCTTGCCACAGCGGCACACAATTTCATTTTGGGAATCATAAAGCTGCGAGCGTCTTGTCTGCAACCTGTCTGCACGTGTCTCGCTCTGCTGGACTTGATTGCATGTGCAGCGCGTGCACGGACGACGACGACGGCGGCGGCGGCGGCGGCGACGCGAGGTCCCGGCTGACTCAGACGGTGCCACGGCATCTACGCGTCCTTGTCATAGTTGAGAACGCTGACAAACCTCCCTTTAGTTTGTCTCTTTAAGCCAACATCACTCACGGTGAGGTGGTGGAGCCTCGATTCTCAGCCTGGCCTGGTATGAGGGGTGATAGGTGGTGGTGGTGGTGGGTGGGGGGTGCTGTCAGACATTGAAGGAGGGAGTGACAGAGGGGGAGGAGAGAAAAGGGAGAGAGAGAGAGAAGAGCAAAGGGGGAGGGTTTAGGGAAATAGATTTGAGAGAAGAGGGTGAGGGAGGGAGGGAGAGAACGTGTGAAGCACGCTGCCAGCGCTCGCTCGGTAATGCACTGTGAACAGGGACACACACACACTCGTACATGCAGCCTCACACCCGGACACCTTCACACACACACACACACACACACACACTCCTTCACACGTGTAGACATACTTTTCCCTTCACACACACACACATGGACACACACTGGACTCAACCAGACCGGACCGCTGTCACCCACCAAGGGAGACTCTGAGCAACACAGCACCTACCGTAAGGCTCAGCTACCTGCCAGCATGCACTCCCCTCCTCTTCCCTCTCCTCCCTCCCTCACCTCCCCTCCTCTCCCCTCCCTCCCCGTTCAGTCTCCCTCCATTCATTCATCCCTCGTTCCTCCCTACTGCGAGGTGGCATGCGTGGCTGAAGGACACAGCGCTGCGCTCTGCTGTGGTGTAGCTGCGAGAGTTGGAGAGCCCGATCTGATAGAGAGGTGGGGGGGGAGATAGATAGACTCTCCCTCCCTCTCCTCTCCTCTCTTTTCTTTTTTTTTTTTCTGTGTCGCTGTCTGTCTCTCTATCCCCGCCGCTCTCTCGTTCATGAATGTCACCTCTATCTCTGGGAAATGCTGGATTTATCAAGCCTCTGTCTTCCTCCCCCCTCCTCCTTCTTCTTTTCTCTCAGGGTGCGAGTGAACGCAAAGGGTGATGCCAGGAGAGCTTGAAAGAAAGCGAGGAAACAAGCCGCACTCCGTCCAGCAGCGTCCGCATCCCTTCATCAGCCTGCGGAGCTGATACCTCAGGTCGGACAGTCCCTACTTCTTCTTCTTCTGCTTCTTCCTTCTACTTGTCTTGCTCTGACATTGTTTCGGATGGAGACATTTTACAGGTGAAGGCACGGAAAAGGAACGGAGCTGTCCCAACTCCTGTTATTTCGGAGAGTTGACATTTTTCGGATCAGGCTTCTGATCTGCAGGACTGAGCAGGTTAAGAGGACTATATTTTATTTTTTTATTTTTGTGGTTTCACGATGCGGCGAATGGTTCGGCTTCGTATCGGACGGGGTTGAGTCGAACTTGGGAGTACTCTCGGACTGGGACGGAGGCATCAGGAGGATACTGGTATTGGATTCTGGGTGGATAGCAGCATGACTTGTCCCAGCAGAGGAAGAGTGACGTATCAAAGCTTCACCTGAACCTGACTCCCAACCAGAAAACAAACCAAAAAAAAAAAAACAACAGAAGGACATTTAAAGGCAAACGATCCAAACGTCGGCGGGCAGCAGTTGTCAGATTTGGGTGGGCTTTTGAAGGATCCACCCTTCTGCCCTCCACCTCCTCCTCTTCTTCCTCCCTTCCTCTCCCTCCTTTTCTGCCTTTCTCCACCCGTCGCTTCGGTCCATCCTCAGAAGCCCCCTCCTCCGCTCTGCACCCCTCCCTCAGCGGTGCTCCGTCGCCCTGGGTGAGCGGGCAGGGGGGTGGCCCACGGTACCCCCCGACACCTGGGCGCCACCGAGCCGCCAGAGGCTGGTGAGGCGGCGGCAGGGTCAGCGCTGGGAAGATGGCCGCTCTCGCCAGCTCCCTCATTCGCCAGCGCAGGGAGGTCAAGGACCCCCAGGCAAACCGGCAGATCGCCAGCAAGCGCAAGCCCTGCCCGAAGAGCAACAAGTCGCTCTGCCAGAAGCAAATCCTCATATTAATATCAAAGGTTCGACTATGTGGCAGTCGAGGGAGAAAAATGGAAAAAAGACCAGGTGAGTTCTCAGAGGCCTTAATTTTTTTTAAAAATCAAATCACCCCCCTTTTCCGGTTTCTCCCATCCCTCCTTCCACTCCAGTCCATCCTCTCTTTGCTCTGTTTACTGCCTGTACTGGATAACTGGATTTTGATGGTTGGCTTGCCAGACTACAGATTAATCCTTAACTGTAAAGCCTCAATAGAGAACATCTGCAGCCTGTAATTTCAGGAGTTCAGGACTTAATCTGAATCTGGGAAACATCCCAGCCCGTCTTCCTGGTAGCAGCATGTTCTGTATTTACGGTACAGGAAATTAACAGAGTAAATTCCAGTTTAATACACAGAGCTCTGTGTCACTGACCACAGGCACTAAAGCCTGTGTTGTTGTGACTGTGGTGACGACTTTGTTGAGGTGCATGTCAACACATCCGCACACACACACACACACACACACAAGCTGGTAATCTGCAAGCCCACATTGAACTTGGCTCATACATACGGTGATTTACTGTGATATAAAAATGTCAAGAGGCGCCTCATTTGCGATTCTGGGGGCCATTACTCTCTCCCCGTGTTTCCTTCGAGGCAAGCGAAACACAGTGTGGCCTAATTTGTCTTGTGTGTTTGCATGTTAAATGTGATTTTAAAATTATTCATTGGAGCTAAATGAGACAGTGACACTTGACTTGTGTGATGATCGTGTCTGTGCCGCATCATGCCGATAGGATCTGATGTTACGAGCCAAAGATGGATGGAGTTGTGCCTTTATGAAAACATGGTTCATCAGAGGTCTTGTGCTCCTAATAAAAACCTTTTAGATTTACTAGGAAACACATTTCTAAATTTAGATAAGGCTGGACTGAGCAGTGAGAAGACACAGAGTTGAGCTGGATCCTTAAAAAATAAACAAGTAATGATTGACTGTTTTATATTCTTTCTCTTTAGGTAACATATAGGCATTACCCTTCCCTTCCTTTGCAAACCATAGCATTGGCTTAAATACTTTTCTGGAAGTTATTTTCCTATTTATGTTTTCTGGAAGTCCTATTTGCCTTTTATCTGTTTTGGAGGTTATTTGGTTGTTGTTCAGAAGGACTGTGGCGTCCAGGTCGACCGGTCGATCGACTGGTCGATACGCTCTCATCTGAGCAAATTCTCATTGGTTGGACAATGATAAGGACAAAAGTGCTTCATCAAGAGCCTTTCAGGATTAATCCATTATTATTGGCGGAGGGAGAAGCAGATTACCTGGGAACACCCCCCCCCCCGCAATTTCACAACTTTGAACTCACCCAAAGCACAGACTGCTCATGTGATTATGCAAGTTGTTTATAGAAGACGGAATTAGCTCATGCACTTGTGTTGTGAAGCCTCAAGTCTGGAATTTAATTGTTGGTCTCTCTCTTGAAACCGGATACTACCACAGTGGACGGGGGGGATCTGACTGGAGAGCACAAGAACGCTATGCACAGTGACCCGGTAGCAACCTGTTGGTCAGCTTGGTTTGTTTGACTCTAAATGTGACTCTCATTTATAAAATAGCCAAAATGCAGCTTTCACAAAGTCTTCAAACTTGCATTTGAAACCATGACATGTTTACTGATGTACAGATCAAGGGAGAAGTTGCTCTTTATGCAATCAGTGGAGTTGCCCCCTGCTGGTCATTAGAAAGAATGCCCACTGGCATTTACATTCACGGAACGTTTAATTGGAATCAACTCCAAACTATGTCGACAACATGACAAAGATGTATGTGGCTGCGTTTGTTCAGACGGATGGCCAACAAGTCAAGTGCAAGCTTTGTAGACAGTAAAATTCCTCATACTGGGATCACGAGCTGACATCACTTTAAAAAAATTTCCGTATAAAATTACTCAAATAATTGAATATACTGCAAGTATTGGCTTTTTATGTTGATTTATAATTCATTTTGGCTAATAAGGCTAGCAGTTAGAATGCAATTTAGTTGGAAAGCTACTGTGAAAAGCCCCGGATTTGTCACAGTTAAAGGGGCTCACTGATTTACTTAATTGTGAAATTGAGAAAATCAACCAATAAATCGAGGGGCAGGTACAATTTCAATCCAGCGAGATTTTCTATCGTTGACTGCTGCCCTATTGTTTATACTGTTAACTCGTCTGTTTCTGAAGTCATTTGATTTAGAGCTACACGCGTTACTTCCTCCATCTGTGCTACATTACACATAAAGACTTCATAAAACATTAGCTGTTAACACTAGTGTATGTGTGTCCTTACCTCACTGGTGTGTATGCGCTCGCTCATGTCCACTTTTCTACCTGCCTGCACTTCCATATACAGTCCGTGTGTGTCCTTCTCCAGCTTGTGCAGGTGCGCTTGTGTGTGTGTGCGAGTTCTGTGATATTTATTACCTCGGCGTGCCAAGTTCATCATGATAATTACGTGGGGAACCTCTAACGTGGGAAGCAGCATCTGCCATAGAGGCGGCTGCTCTCTATATTGTAATTACGGTTGTAAAATATGTTGGACAGGTCGTGGCAGTGCCAGCTCTTTGGGAAAAGGCCACGTGTGTGAAATGCCCATTGTTTGAAGCCATTTTCATCCTAATGGCTTCTCTGCTTTTCACACTCTCATGGATTTATTATGGTAATTGTGGCGGCGCTGTATGGAGGCTGCGGTTAGAGACGCATTACCTGCTTTGCCATTTCAGGTGGTGATATACTGAGGTCTGTCTATTACCATGTGTGTCCACGAGCGCCTCCGTCATTCCTTTAAAGGCTCTCTGCATGTGTGTTCATCATATGGAGGACACTGCTGACCCCTTGGCCACGAGCGTATGTGCCAGTTTGTCAAGTGTGAATCCTCATCGTGTGTGAGTTCCTTTCTTCACTCTCTGAGCTTCATCCCGAGGCCAGAGTTGACCCCTGGCCAGGAATAAACGACTAGAATATTCTCGAGCTGTGGCCTCCACCTCCTCCTCTTCTTCCTGCTTCTGGCAGGACTTCAGAGCAGCCAGCTTACAGCTTGCCTTCACTTTCCTTCCAACAGCCCTCTATTGTTTTTACTTCCATCAATTGGCTTCTATTGGCTTATTCTTCTTCCTATGGCTTATATTCAGTTCACCTGTTATGTGTTTTGGTTGGAACCATTGTTTTTCTATTACTGCCTTTGACTTTCATCGGCTTTCTTCAGTTGTAGTTACTTACTCTTGGCTTCTGTTGCCTTTTGTCAAGCACAGATTCTTACGTTTTCTACTCGAGGCTCTAGAAATCTCACATTCGACTTAGATTTCAACCCAGACAACTGATGACACATGACAACATCAGGAGTTTTTAAGCTTATAACTCATAATACAAGATGGATGTTAACTATTTGGAGCAGAGTAATGATCCACACACAGTTCCCCCCAAAGATTCAGTTAAACTCAGGTGATTACCAGTGCGTCATATGGTGATACCGACTCTTCATTCGCAATGCTTCTATTTGCTTTCGTCATTCGGTGGCCTGTCCAGCGAGTCCCTCCTCCTGTGGAAAGACTCCACCATCCTGCCCTACATCCTCATTGAGTTTGGTGTATTGGAATGTGAAGCAGTTCTCCAGCTGCTGCAGATGTTGGGTGGGGTACCCCTCCAGCAGAACAAGGGCTACCTTCACCAGCTACAGTCCAAGATTTTGGAGTTAGTCTGCAGGGTGAGGAAGCTGAGTGATAGTGAGAAGCATGACAACAGCAATGTGCAAATGTAGACCTGGGTGATGAAACGATAGTGATATGTACAGGTGGTGACACTTTATCAATAGCAAAAAACATAGTGTTATAGAATGTTTACTTACTGTCATAGAAGCACATAAAAAACACAAACATGTGTCCCATTCACAAATCCCAAGTGTGCTCCCTCCTTGGATTATCATATATTTTGATAATGGAGCTTTTTCCGCCCTCCATCACTTACCTGTGGCTGCAGGTCTCCAGATTTGGGCTCATCTGTGGGCCCTTGTCTGCATCGACTGGCATGCTCTAGTGAAGGCTGCAGCTGGCAGGCCTTTATGGGACTGGCTTTGTGGTCTAAAAGCACCAACAGCTCTATGTTTCCCACCATCTCCACGTAAACAATGTGCTCCTAGCACCCTTTGAATGCTGACGGACTTGATGGTGTGCCCATGGAGGCTTGGTTTTGGACAGCCACTCTGGACCTTACTCTTCATGTGGTATCATGGCTTTGTCACGCTCATTCTCTAAGCATCTTTAAGTTCTGCTTGCTTTCTTTTTTAATGAAGCTGATATCATTCCTTTATCCTCATTTGTTTTTATTTACGTGTGCATTTTAAAAATGTGTCTTAATATTTGGACAACTACCTGTTTACCCAGATTTAAAAAAAGCTTAAGTTACTAAATTACTTTTCCCTCCTGGTCTTTATTATAAAAAGACCACTGAATAGACAATTTTGTTGTGATTTGTTTGTGACTTTTCAGCTGTAACCCCCAGCCCGACCTCAAACACAACATATGCAGGTACATCCGAGTCAGTCATTGTTTGTTCCAGTTCCCAGGCAGCCAGAGAGACACTCAGCAGCACCAAAGCAACATGATCACGCTCAGGTTACAGGCCACACCATGACTTGTGAAAAGTTTCACCAGGAAACCAATGAACAGGCAACTTTGTGGGCCAATGGTGAAACATCAGACCAGTTGTAATCTAACCTCTCCTGTGTTTTTTTGTTGTTTTTTTCCTGTTGTTTGTAGTTCACTTAAACGTAACACTGACTGAACTACAGCCTCGAGCTGTGTCATCTGAGTTACTTCGTTGCTGGTAGATGTTGGAAACAATACGCTGAACATTTGTGACTAAAAAGAGAAGCTTCTTTTGCTTGTGTGGAAAGCGCACTCATGACAATGCTGCAGCTTTTCTCCAGAAATCCCAAAGCCTGAATAAAAACAGTGAAGGGAGGGGGGGTCAGGAGTTTGCATAACTTGGTTCAAATCCAGTTGGGGATCCTTGTTAAATGTCAACCCTCTTACTGAAAAAGACAAAAAGGGCAT